CAGTGAGAGGAAAGAATATCCTTTTCAACAAATGGTGCTGGGATAACTGCAAAAGTATGAAGTTGGATCCCTACTGATGTCATATACAAAAATGAACTCAAAATGGGTCAACAACCCATTGAAACTATAAAACTATTAGAAGAAACGTAAGAATAAATCTTCATGACCTCAGATTTGGCAAAGGATTCTTAGATTTGACATCAAAAGCATGAACGACAAAAGAAAAACAGATAAATTGAACTTCATCAAAATTAAAAACTTTTGTGCATCAAAATATATTATTGAAAATATGAAAAGACATCCTGCAGAATAGGAGAAAATGTTTGCAAAAGCATATGTCTGATAAGGGTCCAGTATCTGGAATATATAAAGAACTCTCACAGATCAACAACAAAAAGATAAACAAAACAATTTTTTAATGGGCAAAGGATTTGAATAGACATTTCTCTAAAGAAGATATACAATTGGCCAACAAGTACATGAAATGATGTTTAACATCACTGGCCACTAAGGAAATGCAAATCAAAACCACAATGACATCAGCCAAGTATAAGTGATCTAGGTTCTCTGCATTTTTGTTATGATTTTTTTTATTTTAGCCATTCTGGTAGATGTGTAATGATATCACATTATAGTTTTAATTTACATTTCCCCAAATGCTATTGGTGTTGCAAATATTTTAATGTGTTTCTCTGCCATATGTATATCTTCTTTGGTGAAATGTTTCTTCATGTCTTTTGCCCATGATTGATTTTTTACTGTTGAGTTTTGATTGTCTACTGTATACTTTTAGTTCTTTGCCAGTTATACACTTCTAAACAATATCTCCAAAACTTGTAGTTTTTTTTATACTCTAAATATGGTAATCACAGAGTAAAAGTTCTTCAATTTTGAAAAAAAGCATGATGAGTTACTACTTCACACCTATTAGGATGGCTTTAATAGGAAAAAAAAAAGGAAAATAAGAAGTACTAGTGAATACGTGGATAAATAGGACCCCATGTATATTGCTGTTGGGAATGTAAAGTGGTTTAGCCACTGTAGAAAACAGGCATTTCCTCAAAAAATTAAATTACCATATGACCCTGAAATCCCACTCCTAGGCATATATCCAAGAGAAAATAAACTATATGTCCACACAGAAACTTGTACACAGATATTCATAACAGCATTATTCATAGTAGCTAAAAGGTATAAACAACCCAAATATCCATCAGTGAATGAAGGGATAAACAAATTGTGGTATACACGTACAATGGAATATTCAGTCATAAAAAGGGACAAAATACTAGTACATACTACAGCTTGGATGAATGTTGACAACATTATGTTAAGTAAATGGAGGCAGACACAAAAGGTTACATACTGTATGATTACTTTTATGTGATACATCCAGATCAGGCAGAAAGTGGATTAGTGGTTACCAGGGGCTGGGAGAGCGGGAAGAGAGAGTGATCACTTAATGGGTACAAAATATTTTTGGGGGATGGTGAAAATGTCTAGAGAGAGGTAGCAGTTGCACAATGTTGGGAATACATGAATTATACACTTTATAGTGTTAGTTGTATGAGAATTTCACCTCAATTAAAAAAAAAAAGACATGCACCTAAGAGTATGCTGGTACAATTCTTGAAATGCAACGAAAAAGAACAAAAACTTGGAAAGTTTCCAAAGGGAAAATACTTTGAAAGGAAAAATAATCAAATTTCTCATCTACAATACTGGAAGCTTGATGGCAGTGAAAAGATATCTATGCTCTACTTAAAGGAACAGCTAGCAATTCACAAATCCTCACTATTCAGCCTCAATGCCACTTACTAGCAGGGTGAGAGAAGACATTAGCACTTAAGTAAGGATCCAGAGAATATATCACTCACAGAGCCTATTTGAGGAAAATCCTCAAAAAAGTTGTCTGTCAAACAAGAAGTTAGTCCTAAGAGTAAGGAAAGATAAAGAATACGCACTGGTAAGCACAGAACCACACAACAGTTGTAATTAAACCGCAGTGGATGACGGTAATGTGACTGGAATTTGTGAATAAGGATTCTTGAAATAAAGGAGTCATAGTTTCAGAGAAAATGTAATAAATATCTGGAAATAGAACACTTGACTATGTCAGCAAGACCTCCAAGTTGGAAGGATGTTGCAGAGAGAAGCATAAGATATTAGAAAGCTGTGCAGTGAGCAGAGAATGTGGGCTAGAAATGTTCTGCATTTTCATTCTACTTGAGGTGGTGGTGAGCAAAGAGGAATAAAGGGCAGGATAAGTATTATATGAATATTTTAATATAATAGTGGAAAAATAGGTATATTAAGAAGGTAAGTACTAATGGAATGAGAAACACTGAAGAATTTTGGAAGTGTAAGAAGAAAAAGAAAAGAAAAGAAAGGAAGGAAGTCTGACTTTACCTCTCAGCAGCACTGCCCCAGTTGTCCACCCCACCTTCTTGAAACACTTTCCTTCTTTGGCTTTTCTGACCCTGCACTCACCTGGTTTTCCCCACTGGCTGCTCCTTCTCCACCTCTCTCAAAGGACCTGAACCCTCTGGTGGTCAGTGCTATGCCCTATTTTCTTCCTTAGCTATCATGTCTCCCTGGGTGATTTTAGCTAATCTCATGGCTTTAAGTAGCATGGCTGTGCCGAGGGCCACATTTCTGGTCTTGACATCTTCCCTGGGCTTCAGACCCAAACTTTATGGCCTTATTAACATCTGTTCTTGGAAGCCAAAGTGAATGTGTCTAAAATGGAATTCTTATGCTATGCCTACCTCACCCCAAACCTGCACCTACCCAGGCGTTAATGACAATTACAGCTCAATAAATGTGACCCCATCTGCCAGTTGCTTAAGCCAAAAATCTAGAAGTCATCTTTGACTCTTCCTTCTCTCTGACATCCAGTCCACCAGCAATCTCTATTATTTTACCTCCCAATTTTTTTCTGAATCTTCCCATTTCTTCTTATCCCCTACCACCATCTTTTCTCACTTAGCCTTTTGCAAAAGCCTCTGAATTGGAGTCCCTTTCCTTCCTCTTGCCCTCCTACAAACCATTCTGCAAACACTATATATTCTAAAATGATCAATAAAAATGTAAATCACATGGTATTACTTGGGTAAAAACTATCTGGCAACTTCCTGTTGCTTTTGGACTTCATTCAAACCCCGTACTCACCCTATAAAGTCTTTCTTGCCTCAGTCTTCTGTCTTAAGATCTCTTCTTCACTCCCTCTGCTCCAGCCACAGCTCCTTGTTCAGTCCCACCTGTAGGTCAAGATCACTTCTGCACTGGAAACTTTGCACATGCTCTTTTTGCTGCCTGAAATAATTCATCCCATGGTGTCATGATTCAGGACTCAACTGTCACATCTTCTTAGTGGGCTTTTTTGACGAACACCCACACCTCACACTTCCATCAAACCACCGGTATTCTATGACATTATTTTAAGTGTTATTATTGTAAGTGTTATTTTACATTATTTTAAGTGTTAAGTATTACTGTAACTTCTTGGTTACAAACAACAGAAATCAACTGACTGATTAAATATTTATTTATTTTTATATTCTATTTATTTATTTGTTTTTTAATTGAAGTGTAGTCAGTTATGATGTGGCAATTTCTGGTGTACAGCATAATGTCCCAGTCATACATGTATATAAATATATTTGTTTTCATATTCTTTTTCATTAAAGTTTATTATAAGATACTGAATATAGTTCCCTATGCTATGCAGAAGAAATCTGTTTTTTAGCTATTTTTATATGCAGTGGTTAACCTTTGCAAATCTCAAACTCCCAAAAGGAGGGCAGTGGCCCAAAGACCTTTGAGGGGTCCAAGTGGCCAGGGTTTGAGATGACTCATCCAGGAGCCACACCTTAAGTTGTGCCACCAGAGCTGGTCCAGGAGAAGCAAGTCTATCACTCCTGATACAGACACCACAGCTTACATCCCAACGCCACTGTCTCTGGACCATTCCCTGCCCCAGATCTGCTGCCACAATTGCCTCAGGTGACAAGGTGGCTGCTGCCATTGTTGACAGCACAGATGCAGTAGTCCTCCTCTCTTCATGTCACTAGCTTCTGTTTGAAATTCTGGGTAGGTTCATCTGATTGGAGGAGCCCAGGTTATGTGCCATCTCAGCTGCAAAGGTGGCTGGGAGGGTATCTAGCAACTTGGATGGGCTTTGCATCATAAGGTAGAAAATTCCATGAATAAGACAAGGAAGTTCAGATACCAAGCAACAGATAAGAAAGCTGTGCCACATCTTTTTATTTTTATAGCACTTACAACTACCTGAAGTCACTTGTTTTCCCTACTTTTTTAGTAGTCTGCCTCACTAGAATGGAAGTTCCATGAAAGCAGAGACCTGATCTGCTTGTTCACCATCTCCAGCAACCTGAAGGGTACTAGCTCATCAAACATTTATTGACTGAGGGCTGGCTGAGCACCCAAAGGGGTAAAAATTTGTATCATATAAGTAGTTTATATAAGAAAGAAAGAAGAATTATATGACAAACCATAAGGTGGTCCTATAATACTAGGACTGGCCAGTGATATATGGATTTGTTAATTTTAGTGGGTTATTGGTGACTCAATTAAGAGCAATTTCAGAGGAATGATGGCCAGAAACCATAAGGCAGAGAAAGCTGAAATGATTCTCTTCTGGTGTGTACAAACAAAGAGGGGGAAGTTGTACTACCATTTATAAACTTCAGTATTTTCAGATTCTATTTCCTAGAATTAGACCAAGGGGCATACTGAGTACAAGCTGCCAGAAAATGAAAGAGCTTGAGTGTGGGAGGGTGACAGGCATGGGCTTGAATCAAAACTGTCAGCTTCTAGGCAAGACCAATGCCTATAAGCACGTTACCTCTGCAGCTTTGTTCCCATGTCTGTAGAAGTGGATACTTCTCTTTTCATAAATGTAAAAGTATTGTGATGTGAAACAGACAGTAGATCAACAGCATAACGTTTGCTCTACTTCTTCTTTCCCCTAATCTTAGCTCTTCCTTCATCAGGTTCCCAGACTGTCAAAGACCCCAGATCCTCCTGCACATCCCCAAGGACTGTGGGGGGATCTGTCCAGCTGCAGCTGAACTCTACTTTGTATCCTAACATCCGAGAGATCGAGTGGAAGTGGGATCCTGAGGATGGTAAAACACAGCTGCTGGTGTCCTGGAAGCCTGATACCTCCAGCTCTGACTGGTATGAATTTGAAGAAAAATACAAGCACAGATTCAGCCTAACAGGGATGGCTTCCTTGAGCATCAGAAATCTCACGATGGATATGAGTGGGCTATATACAGCGAGCATCAAATTCCGCTCAGGAAAATCCCAGGAGGAAGCCTTTAGACTCTGTTTATATGGTAAGGTGTGGGACCATGCCCCAACTGTATTTTCCAACAACCAGTTTATCTAAAGTAAATTAGCCTAAAATCAGATGTTTAACCACCAGCCCCTTTTTTCAGGAGTTTATAATATCTCTTTGGATGCCCTAAAAATAAAACTAAATTTTAAAAATTACATCTTAGAAAAAACTAGCTACAATTTCTTAATTTCCTACAATTTTTTTGTTGTTTAAAAGTATTTATTTAGAACAGGAAGAGAAAGGGGCTTAAGCTTTATCATCTTTCAATTAATCCACTTCTGGCAGAACCATGGTAAGGCCTGACCACCACTGTCCTCCTCTCCTGGGCTGGGCCGTCCTCCAAATCCCGCCCCCAACTCTAGGGATCCACGCACAGCTGGTGGAGGGAAGGTCCAGGATACTGGGTGGGCTCCAAGGCTCATGAGAGACAACCCATGGAAGTCTTAAAGCGGGGTGATCACTTTACAGCCTCTCCCAGCAGCATAAAATTATAGAGGCTCACCCAAAAGTATATAAAAAAAGAACTTTCAATTATAAAATACTGCAAAGTTGATTATTAGAAATATACAATTATATCCAAAATGTCCTTAATTCATTGGTTCAAAAACTGATTTAAAAATTCCTAAGTGACAAAAAAAAAGTTGGCAAAACTGAAACAACAAAGCTGGACATCAAAAAACATGAAGAAAAGACACTTAAGCAGGAGTCGAGTGTTAGAACTAATCATCAGGTAAAATGCTTTTAAATCAGTTGACCTGAAGTCCAGCTAGAGAGAGCTCGGGACAAAGCTCTGTCCTAGACACGAGTCAGAGATCCAGAAAAGCCAGCCTCGGCCCCCTGAAGCTTCCAAGCCAACGAGGAGCTCAACACCCTCCCTGGGGAAGCGGAGAGCTCAGGGCAGACAGTGCCATGGGGAAAGCAGGAAAAAAGGGAGGAGAAGGAACTCAGTCTAGGGGTATCCAACCTGCCAGAGCTCCCTCCCATCGGTCCTCTTTGCCTCCACCCTCCGTCCCCTCTGCTTGGGTTATCCCAGCAACCTCCTAACTGGCTTTCCTTCCTCTGGTCCGTTCTCTCTTCCAAATTACCCTCCATACAGCTGATATTTTGATGTTTTTAGGCTGGAATTCTCTTCCTGTTATTCCCCTGCTTAAAACCAGACAATGCTCTGGGTCTCCATCCCCCATAGGATAAACGGCACTCAGGAAAAGAAGTTTAACCCTGCACACAGGATCTGGTCCTTGGCTGTCTCCTCAGGCTCGTTTCCTGATGCTTTCCTTCATGTGCCATGCTCCAAACTTTCTACCCTTCTCCTCGCCACCAGGCCCTCTCCTTCTTGACATATGCTGGTGGCTCTCTAGAGAGTATCCGTCTCCCACACATTCCCTGAACCACCAGCACCGTCCCTACACACCTCACCTAGTGGGAGCAGGGGAGGGGTGAAAGACTCCAACAGAGGGAATTGAAAAGCTTTATAAGAAGAGGCTGGGTTGACTGGGTTGACTCCCCAAGCTGGGGTTTCCAGTTGGCGAAGGATGGAGAAACACATCAGCGGCCTCCCTGGTCTCCAGCTTCTGATTGCTCAGCTTGTCTCTCTCTCCTCCTAGGCTAATAAATTCCTGGCAGAGCTATCTGAGCAACATCATACGGGTATAGTCTCATCCTGTCTCTTTTGGCAGCAAGAAATGGAAGCTTATTCAAATAGGTCAATAAAGAGTGTTTTCATGGTAAAGATGCATAGGTCTCTAGGAGGAAGAGCAATAAAGGAGTTCCTTTTGTGCTCATGGGAACTGGAAAGCTGATGGGCACTCTCTTCTGTCTGGCAGGGATCGTGTACTTTCTCACCTTTGCTTTCAGTGTCTCTCTCCCTTTCCCGTCGGCTTTATTCTCCTGGGCTTCTCCACATGGTAGGGAATATGGCCTTGTGCAGCTGTGGGTTCCATTCAAGCAGAGAGCAAAGGGAGTTTCCTGGCTCACTCCACCCGGGAAATTTCTAAGGAAAGGCACTTAGTGGTTGGGTGTGGGTCATAACGTCACCCTTAGATGCGCCACTGGCTAGGAAAATAGCATATTATAATTGTTAAGCCCTGGGATCTGTGTCCTCCGTTGGAACCAGGGTCAGGGTGCTTTGACTAACATGTCAGTACCACAAGGTTGGAGCAAAAGAGGAGTTGTTAGAAAAAGTAAAGGTGCTACTAGCTGGCTTCCCTTTGTCTCACCTTCCATTTTCTGGCAATCCACCAGAGCCCATGTTACTCTTCCAGCAACACCTGCTCACACCCCATCACCTGTACAAATAAGTACTCATCTCATCATCAGACAGCCTCCATCCATTGTCCCAGCCTTGTTTCTAGCCAGGCACATTGTTCCTCTAATACAGCCCCCATCCTCTCTCTCCATTACCTCGTGGCTTTCAGAACTGCTATGTCCTAAGAAAAGGCTTTTCTGATCCATATTAAATGGATATTTCCAACTGAAAGTTCTTTTTCCTAATTCTTTTATGGATCGAGTTTCTCTCTGTCTTGCTCTACAGTTATTTGTGTGGGCTACTCTCCACTTGAGAGCAGGGTTCATGCCCAACTCTTCTTGGCATCTGCCTAGTGTTCTGTACAGCTCCCAGGAGGCATTCAGGAAGTAATTTTCAACCAAATAAATGTAAGCAATTTTTAAAGGATATCTACAGAAACACATCTAGTTCTTCTAGAATTTTTATTATTCAAGTCTGATTAATATTCCTTCACCTACTGAAAAGAGCATAATAAAAGTTCAGAAGAACCACATGCTGAGTGAATACATGCGTAAGGGCATGTACTTCCTAAATACTTGTCTGTGCTTCATGACGTGTTGTAATAGACATCCCACTTGGTTTTATATTTCAGTTATTATCTGTTCATTAAATCAGATCTTTTAAAGAAGTGACCTAAAAATGTCATTTTCAATGAGTCTTGGGAAGGGCCCACAAATCTGCATTTTTAACAACTGCCCCAGATCAAGGGTTGGCCAACTATAACCACTGGTAGATCCAGCCCAATGTCTGATTTTTATAAATAAAGTTTTATTGGAACACAGCCATACCCATTCTTTTACCCATGTTGCATTTGGCTGCTTTCTTCTTCTCATGGTAAAGTTGTGTAGTTATGACAGAGACCATATGGCCAGTGAAACCTAAAATATTTCTATCCGACCCTTAACTCTTTTGCCTACCCCTGCCCTAGATGACTCTACTGACACAGCTAATCCATGTAACTTTACAGGGTTACAGTGAGGATTAGATGAATTTATGTAAAGCCCTTAGAGCCTTGCCTGGGAATAGATACCTTCTCAATAAATGCCAGGTGTGTTTTTCTGTTCATCTGCTAATAGAGTAAATTACACTAATAAATTTCATAATTATATTGTCCTTGCATTCCTATAATAAATCCAGCTTGATCATGATGTATTGTGTGATTATATTTGTGAATATTTAATTTAGGAATTTTAAAATTCTTTATTTGTAACTGACATTAGTCCTTAGATTTGTATAATTGTATTGTGTCTTGTTTCGGTTTTGGTATTCTTGTCTGATGTGAGTATTAAGTTAAACTGTCCTTTCAGAATGACCTCAGAAACATTTCACCTTTCTAAGCTCTGGAACAGTGTATATAACACAGGAATTGTCTTTTCCTTGACCATTTGGTAGCACTCACTCTAAAGCCATATGCACTCTGTGACCTTATAAGGACAGATCTTTTGTCACCTTCCTCATTTCTTCTAAGAACTATGGGTGTATTCAGGTTTGCTGCCACTTATTAATAGGATTTTGATCATTTACATTTTCCTAGAAAAGCATCTTTTCATTTACCTTTTCAAATTTATTGATATGTAGCTGTATATTATGTTTTCTTACAATTAGTAATATATCCTCTTACCTGTAGTTATGCCAAATTATTTATTCCTAAAGACATCTACTCACAGCTTTAATTTTTTAGTAAGATACCAATATTTTTTCTTTTGATTGGTCTTTTGAAAAACTCAACTTTAATTTTGCTGATCAAATCTTTTTTATTGTTATCTATGCACACAAGTTAGGAAGATATGTTTGACTGAAATTAACATTGAACTTGATTTTTAAAGGCTTAAGCAAACAGGGAATTATTTTTCTCACATAATAAGAAGTGAAGAGATAACTTTGGCTGGGATCCACCTGTCTGCTCAGCACTGCCCCCGGGGACAGAGGCTCACTCTATCTTTCTGCTCTGCATCCTTGGCACAAGCTTTTTCCTCCTGCTTGTTGCCTCTTGGTCCAAGATGGCTGTTGCTTCAGATGTCGTTCCAAGATAAAAATAGCAAAAGAGAGAAAGACACGGGGAAGAATCTTTCTTATTTTGAGGCTTTCTCTTTTCAGGAGTGAGGATCTTTCCTCTCACCCAGAAGAGTTCCCCTACTTTATTGGTCAGAACCAATGCAGTTGTACAAAAGACTAAAATTGAAGAGTAAGCTTTCTAGATTCTTAATAGTCAAGACAGTGAGGGAAGCGGGACTGAGTGTGGAGTGAGCATCCTATGAGATTGGCCACCTGGCCATTAATGTCTGTTTTTACCTATAGTTTATCCTGTCTTCTAGTCTCTTTAGGCCTATCTGCCATTGGAAGGTCATCCATGGAGTAACAGTGAACTTGACTTATACATTTCCAAACCATGTTGTTAGGTCCATATTTATTTAACATATTTCTATTTGGCCCACTTAATGTTTTTTATCTCAAATTTTATTTGGTCTACCGTGACTCTTGCCACACCTGCAATTGTTTTGTTGACCTTTTCCTCATCTATTGTTTTTAATCTTTCTGTGTCATTAGGTGATGTAACATACATCTGGCTTTGCTTAATCTGGGTCTTGGCTTTTTAATGGGGGATATAATGCATTCAAATGTATTTTTTTACGTGTATGGACCTATTCCAGACATTTTATATAATGTTTTTTATTTATATTTTTTCTTATTTTTTTCTTGCCTTTTGCTTGATTAATACAGTTTTCTTTGATCCAAATTTCTCTACTAGCTTGGAAATTATACAACGTTGTACATTTATCCCACTGGTTATTAAACTTATATCTTTACTTCAACATTTAATCAATATATTTTTCATTCTCTGAACAAAACAAGAGGGTTAACATGTTTTTCCACTGTATTCTCAACCCTTCTCATGTTTTCTTTACTATAAATACAATAATATATATGACTATCATATATATTAATATCACATATACATCTAATTATCATATATATCATGATAATTTAGTTATCTAGACTTAACTTAGCATAGAAGGGGCTCAACTGTCTACCCCAGTGCTGGGAATCAGAACATTTTAGGCCAGGGGGGAATAGGTTCCTTCCCCAGACCTATAGTTAGAAACTTCCCACAGCTGCATCATGTAGCTGAGAGTGGTGATCTACTTGGCTAGACCTCTAGTCCTGAACCTCAGTTTCTCTTTTGTCCCCTCTTACCCTAGAGCCCATCCCTGACCCCCAGATCCAGATTCATTCGTCATCCAACACATCAGGCTGGTGCAACATCAGTCTAGAGTGTGAGATCCCAGGAAACACAGAGAACCTGACAGTGACCTGGCTGAGCCAGGGCCTCCCCAGGGAGCTGGAGCAGAGAGGGCCACTGGGGCCAGCCCCCAGCTCCAGGAATCTAAGCCTGAGCGTGCCTCTGAGCCACTTCAATGGTCACCTCACCTGTGTGGTCAGCAACCCGGCGGATGAGAAGAACACAAGCTTACACCTGGAGGACATCTGTCCGTGGAAGGGTGAGTGTGATCTGCTGGGAAGGGTTATGAAAATGAGCTGGCAGAGACTCGGGGAGGGCAAGACTGGGAGGACTCAGGGAAAATGGTGGGACGAGGAACATTTTAAGGCAGTTTATATGATGCAACTAAAAAGTCCCCACCTCAGTGAATGACCACACGCTCATGATAGCCTTCAAACCTGCAAGTCCAAAAACTGGACCAATATATGGAGACTAACACATCACCCAGGACATCAGTGTGGGGCTGGCATGTGGACACCCCTTTTTCAGCATGGAGGATCCTGGGATGCTGAATTAGACATCAGACCCAAGCAGGGAAGGAGAAGGATCTGAGGAGTAAGGACTGAGGAACCTCAGGGCACCCTGCTCGCAGCCCTGGAGTGCTTCTGTCCCCTAGACTCGGGCCCCCTCCCCCAATCCCTGGAGAGCTGGAATTGCATAGTGGGTTTAGGTCGATAGATGCCTGTCTTTTGCTGCATACCAGACTTGCCCTTGCAAAAAGTGGTTACATGAACCATGAGTACACGAACCACAGCTCAACCCTCTTCTGAGCAGCCTGAGCACCTGTGGTCACTAAGACCAGTTACCACACTTCCCCTATCAGCCTAGTGGGTCGCCTCAGCTCCATAAAGGGACTACACAGGGTAGTTTAGGGGGTGGGAGTCTTTATAAAGGAGCCTCAGGCCCAGGTGCCATCAAATACAAATGCTTCTTCTTTCCGTAGGAGTACAGAGCAGGAACAACTGATGTGATAAAGCAGGTGTAATTACCAGCTGAGTTGCCCCATCCCATCAATGCCCTCCTGACCTCTGCTTGCTCACCGGGGGCTCTCATCTGAACAGTCTCTTCCTTCTCATTTCCTTACTTACTCAGTATTCACCCCACACACTCAGATTGAGTGCCTGCTAGTTGCTGGTGGGGGGAAAGCTCAGTGAAAAGTAAGATAAGCCCCTGCCCTCAAGGAACTTACAGTGCAGTGAGGGCTTCACAGTACACTGGCTATGTGATCCCGGCCAAGTTAATTTCTGCAGGCTTTCAATGATACAGATAATAATTGTATCTATTTCACAGGGCTGTTGTGAGAATTAAAAGAAATAATCCACATAACCCTATCAGTGAAGTTTATGACAAGTAATGTGTCAGCAATTATTAGAAAATAGTTCAGAAAAGAGGAGGATAAATTTCTAAATATAAAACCAGAAGTTAAATGCCAAAGTTGGGAAAAATACGAAGCATATGGTTCAAGCACAAGGAAAAGAAGGAAGGAAGGGAGGGATGGGCAGAGAGAGAGAAAAAAACAAAGAAAGAGTAAGAAAGAAGAAAAGGGAAAGAAGAAAGGAAGAGAGAGAGAGAGAGAAAGGTGAGTAACTGCTGCTAGAGTTGGGAAAGGCATCACAGAGAAGGGATGGGCCTTGAAGAATGAATAAGAGTTTTCTTGTGGCATTGTGAAAAAGACATTCCAAACAGAGAGAAGAACATACCCTGAGATCTGGTGACCCCAGAGTCTTTTACCCCTTCTCCCTCTTAGAATATATTCTTCTTCTGGGAGTCTGAGAGGAGAAAAGAGGCAGACTGAGGGGATGAACATTGGCACATGCAGCTAATGGGTGCCTCTGAGGTTCCTGTGCAGAGATGGGACAGAAAGCCTGGTAGAAGAAACATTAAGGTGGTAATGGTTAGTGTGTAGAGAGACTAGAAAGGAGGAAACGTCAGGGCTGCATCAAGGATGTACACTTGGGATACAGGCCCTGAGCCAGGGTAGTCCCACCTCCTCCCTGTTGCCTACCCAACAAGCCTGACTGAGGCAGATCTGACACCGGTCTTTGACTCCAGGTTCTTTTCAGAGCAAATGGCTTTGGAGAGGCATCCTTCCCACAGTTCTGATGGTGAGCCTCGGGGCTGGAGTGTGGATCTGGTTGAGAAAGAAGACGGAGACTAGGAGAGGCAGGTGCTGGGTAGACCCTAAGGGGAGCCCTGGGATGGGGAGGCCCTAGGGATGGGAGTGGATGGAGGAGACTCCAGGGAGGGGGGCAGGACAATGAGCAGATAGAGGCTCACTGACCTCTCCTGTGAACCATTCCTGGTAGAAGGCTGAGGTAGAGCAATGCTGGGGGCAGGAGCAGCATACATGCCCAGAAAGGAAGAGGGGTGGATGGCAGGGACAGGACAGGGTCTGGGGCCTGATCTCATGACTCAGAGGGCAATGGCTGCCCTTCCACAAGGGCTGATGAGGGGTCACCTCAATTCCATACATGCTCCTTGAACATGTGCTGCATCCAGGCGAGTCCACTCTCCTGCCAGTAGTGCCAGCCTCTGCAGCTGCTCCTCAGGCCCTTCCCACAGAGGAATCTGCTGACCTGCAGACTGGTGAGGCCAACAGCCACGACCCTTTCTATGAAGAGAGCATCCTCCTGAGACACCCTAAGGTGGGTTTATGGGAATCAGATCAGGCTGACTGACATATGCTCAGAGGCAGTGAGTCCTAGGAAGCCCGGAGTATTCTGTTCTCCATTAGGCTCTGGGTCCAGTCCTTGCTTTGGACAATATGGAGGTTGTGCTGGGTGCTCACAACATCCTGGGAGCTGAGGTGCAAAGGGAGGACACCACTGATGGGGAGCATGCCTCACTTACATGTCCACAACCTCATCAGATCCCCACTGCCAACCAAGGAGGAGGGGTGGCAGAGCAGAAGAGGCAAAAGTGTAAATGACTGGGTTTCTGGTAGATCCTGCCATCTATATAAGACTCAAGGAAGTGTAAGTAAGCCACACTAACAGGGCTTGGATACAGGGCAGGAGCTTCAGGAAAGGCTCCCTTTCCCCTCTCCCCTACCTGGAGTCCCTCTCCCTCCTACCTGCTTGAGGTCCTGCCATTAATACCATTTCTTTCGGTAAAGCGTTTTTTTTTTCCCCCCACTGATGAGATGCCCCTGGGAGAGTATCTCATGTGGCTATTGGCCCTTAGTTGGAAATTGGTGCTATGGTCTCAGATGGGATGATTTGACCAAGGGGAAGATCTGGAGACAGGACTGGCAGGAGGAGGAGAGGACACTTAAGGGACTTCAGTGGTTCTGAAACTGAGCTTGCATCAGAAACCCCTGAAGGGCTTGGTGAAATTAAGGTTGCTGGGCCCACTCCTGGGGTTTTTGACCCAGTGATACTTCTGGTCCTACCCTTTGAGAGCTTCTAGGCTAAAAAATAGGAGAAGCAAGTAGAGCCGCTGTCAGGATGCCTAGGAGTAGCCAGTAGCCAAGTCCTTTCCTCTCCCATCCTTTGGCTTCTCTGATGAAGGAACAAGACACCAGGACCTGGTTCAGTCCCAGCAGGTTATAGTGAGGGAAAGTGGGACACTGAGGAAAACTTGGACTTATCAGAGAACCATAACAAACACAAGACAGAATGGGGTGTCCTCACCCTCAGCCCAGTGTTCTGTGCACTGTCCCAAATGCCTCAGTGCCTGCCACATTGGGACTTCCCATGTCAGTCCCTCTGAGTTATGTCTCTATATAGCCTGGACCTCAGGGGGCTCAGGAAATAGGTCGTTGTGATCCAACCCCTAGTATTCCGTCCAGAGAAGTGCAGGAAGGGAGCAATGTGTGGCTTTGGGATAGAGAAACAGATCAGGCCACATCTGACCCAGAAGCTCAGGCCTGTCCTGAAGCCCCTGCCACCTCAGTCCTTGCCCTTGGGGAGTTCCTAGTCTGATGGAGAAAATAAATTTCCTTCACAGAGACAGGGAGCTAAGTGCAGAAGAGAGATGGGATGGCATGAAGAAGAAGCTGGAGAAAAGGGTGTAAGACCCAGCTCTGACACTGACTTCTTGATCAACCCTAGAAAATTACTTTCCTCCCAAAGTCTCAGTGTTTTCTTTTAGAAAATGGGGATTACAGTAATAGTACCTTACACTTTCCTGATGCTTTTCAGTTTTTCAAAGCACCTTTGCAATGATATCAGTCAAGGTGATTCACAAATGTGTTTAACAAACATTTGTTGAGTGTCTGCTGTGTTCCCTCAATTGTTCTGATCTGGGCTACAGAAGTCAACAAAACAAGAAAAATCCTTGTTAGAATATACATTCTAGGTTGAGGGAGGGGAGGATGACAAATCAATAAGTGAAATATGTGGTGCTAGGTGATGATGAATGCCAGGGGAAAATGGAGCAGAAAAGGGAGGTGGGGGAGGGGGAGGGCGTGATTTTAACTAAGGCTGTCGGGGAAAACTTTACCAAGAAGAGAGAGACCCTGAAAGAGATGAGGCAGTGAGCAAAGTTGCGGGGGTGGGGTCTTGGAGTGGGGAGAGAAAGGTAGCATCCTGAGTAGAAGACAGCAAGTGCAGATTCTGCAGTGCTCAAGGAGAGGTCTGTGCTGAAGCTATAGTTTGGGGAGTTTTCAGGACTGAGTGCCAGAATCAAATGGTTAAGGACAAGAAGCTCATGAAGAGATGTAGTTTGACTGACTCTTCTACCTAATGCTTAGAAATTGATGAGACCACGCCTAAACTCTGCTTGAATTGTAGAAAGACACGGAGAAGGGCACCTGCCATTCACTTAGCCCTGAGTGTCCTCTGGCCATCTACACTGTCTATGAAAAGATCCGGACAAGCCCAGAGCTCCAGGAGGACGCCTAGACCACGAAGACACTGGGGTATTGAGGGGCCTTGGCAAGATCTGCCTCATCCTACCCTTTACCCCTGGGTCCCCAAATATCCCTCCTTAAGGTGGAGCTGGGACTAGAGCCCAGGTCCTTCTGATCAATCTCACTGAGACAGCAGAGCAGCATGAACTGCTCCCCTGGGCTCCCCACCAAAATTTTCTCACATCACAGATTTTGGGTGGTGACTCTGCTACTTAAATATCCAAATATGAGAAACAAACCCTTCAGCCTTCAGCCACACTTCTGACCTGTGACCCACTTAACCCCATTAGGGAACACTCGTGGTCAGGCTGGACCTGCTTAGGGGACGATCAGAGGAGAGAGATGGTTTCCTATGACGGAGGGTCCTGGGCCCCTGAGAAGGATGGGCCTTGGGTGGATGCCCTTCAGGATCTCACCACCCAGCTCACTACCCATGAATAGAGAGAAGAATGGCCCTTGACTGTGGAAAAAGCAAAAAGCTGGCAGATACAAAGTTCAGGGCCAGCTGTGCTGTTGAGGGGAGTGGTGGAAAGGGAGGGAAATAATTTTTTTGAGCTCCATTACCTCCTAGACTTCATTCTAGGCACTGGAAATGTACTATCTCAGGTTCTTAAAATTCAAGTAATTCACAGACTCTTGTTTTTATTACATAATATGTGTATGCAGCACAAAAGTTAAAAGACATGTCTTGTTGAAATGATGTTGGATCATTTTGTTGCTATTAAGATGGGATCTTATTCCCATTATATATTTTAACCCATTGATTAAAATAATACATACAAAACATATATTAAGTCAAGTTACTAAATTTCTGTACTCTTTGAACAGTATTTCACTGGGTCCCTTTTAATTTGAGGGTAAATAAAAATATTAAAAACAAGCAATTATAAATTTGTTTCCTGCTTTTTTATTTTTATGCCTCACTTCTTTCTCTTGACTAGCTGAATTGACTAATACTTCTAAAACCATGTTAAGTAATAGTGATGATAAAGAATATCCTTGTATTGTTTCTCACTTTAATATAAATGCTTCTAGCATTTCTCCATTATGCATGATTTTTTTTGGTTACGATATATTTGTTGTATCATGTTGAGAAAATATGCATTTATTCTTATTTTATCAAGAGTTTTACCAAGAATAAAATGTTAAGTTTTATTGTTTCTCTTTTATCATTTGTGAAGATATCATATGGTTTTCTTTTTTATCTATTAATAATATGTTAATAGATATCTTAATATTGAACCATCCTTGTATTATTGGAATAAATCCTAGCTGATGTATTATTCTTTTAATGTGCTAGTGATTGATAATATTTTTATTTGGGATTTCTGCATCATTATTTATAAATGAAATTCTCTTATACTTTTTTTATGCTTTACTTGGTCAATTTGGCATTTGTGTCATGCTTATTTAAGATCCCTTTTATCCTCATTTCTCATAATAATTCAATTAAAATTTGCTTTATAGTAAAAAAAATTCCTCTTAAGAAAATAATTGTCATTACTCGGTGTTGATTAAATTTTTATTATGTTAAAGATGTATAAACATGAAACCATGTATTTATGTCTTATGCTACAGCTTTTATATTATAAACCAAAAATGTATATAAAGTAACTGAAAATAAAGCAGTAAAACAATGAAGCAATGATTATTCAAATTAATATTCAAACATGCAACTTTAATGTAATGTGATGAGTGGTTTTGTTTTGCTGAAACTAAACCATTAATGTCAATATTAAGAGGAAAAACCTGCAGGTTCACATCACGTTCTGTTTTTAAGTTATTATTTTTTAAGTTGAATACAGAGAATGCTACTTCACATACATTTGTTGTACAGCATGTAATTAAAGTTTTTGTTTACTAGTTCAGAATAGTCAACCTCATCTTAACCAAAATTCAACCAGGTGATAATTGATACATCTCTAAAACTGTTTCATATACCTGAAAAAAATTAACATTGCAGCACTATTGAAATCCCCATTGAATGAATATCTATCTATGTATTACTGGAATCATACAATAAAAAAGTTCTTCATTGGATATTTCCCCATGTAGTGGGTATTTACCACTTAACTACTAGTGAATTTTACAAGTTGGTGCCACAAAGATAGAATCCCATACCTCTGCTTGCAAGTCAGATATGCCCCTGACGGCTACAGAGCAGGAACTTTTGAACGTGACACGCCTGTTTGAGAGGTGCTGAGGGCATAGGGGGGCCAGGTTGCCAGATGCCAATTCAGTGAACGAGCAAGTCATCAAAATGATCAAATCTATCCATTTACCAGAAACTCCTCTCTTTTAACTATGTATAAAACTCAAAGCAATTCATATTGGATAGAATGGTTTTTAACAGTTTTTGAAGAGTTCTGAGGTTTTAGTTGACAGGTTTTCGTTATTTCTTCCTAAGATCACCTTAAGCAGTGCTCCATGTTTCTCTACCCAGCTCCCTGCTAGAGACAGAAAGGGAAATCAGTTCACAACACAGCCTGGGAGGGGAAGGTTGGGGGGCAGAGAGTTGAGGAGACTGACAGGAAGAGGAAGGGGATACAGGCTAGGGAGCCAAGCTGAAACCAGATCGCTCGGGTTTTTGCTCCCCAAGGTTCTCACAGGCTCTGGTAATCCATCTGATTCAAATTGTTATGAGTTTTATTAATAACTGAAAGATACTAACTAATATATAAAAATAGATAAACAACAAGTTTATACTGTATATCATAGGGAACTATATTCAATATCTTGTAGTCACTTAATAGTGAAAGAGAATATGAAAAAGAATATATGTATGTTCCTATATGATTGAAGCATTGTGCTGTACACCAGAAATTGACTCATTGTAAACTGACTGTACTTCAACAAAATATATATTTATATAAAAAGAAGACTGCTTGCAAAAAAGATTTGCCCAGTCTACCTCTTACCTCTACAATTAATTCAGTGTCTTTGTTCAAATTGGCTCAGATCTCAGATAATAAATATCTGCATAAAATAAGAAAAAAATAAGAAAAAAGTAAATGTTTTATAAATTTGGCGAATTGAACAAATTGGTTGTTCAGTGATTTAGAAAATGGATTCTTCTGTAAACTATCTTTTAGTAAACTGGTTTTAGCTGAATTGACTTTTGCGTAAAGGTATGTGAGTCTTACTGTTTAATTGGTAAGGAATTTGGCTTCGGGGCCCAGCTGCCTGCATCAGACCCTCAGGCCAAGTCCCAGCTCTACACTCCTGAGCAGGGACTTGACACCCGAGGGCCTCAGTGTCCTCAGCTGTAAGAGTGGAGGAATCAGGGCCTCCCTCACTGAGTTGGGGACAGAGTCACTGAGTTACTACGCTCACAGCGCTCAGAGTGGAGCCGGCATCAAAAGCACATGTTATTAATGTTGCTCTGCTCTGCCCCAACTCATGGCCAGTTCTCCCTGCCCCCCAGTCTCCTCCACATGACCGTGAACCAGGTCGTCCCCATTACAGGATGATGCTGTGCCATTATCTGGTCGTCCTGTGAAGATGCTTTATCACAGAAGCAAACATAACCCTGAAAATGCCCTTGTTACAAGCTGGGCACCTGCACGATCCAAAGATGCCTGTACTAATCCCCAAATTATTAACTGTCAGATTATTGTTACAATGAAAGCATGAAATACAAACATTCTACAGAGCACTTGCAGGACCCTGAGACTACCAAGCACACCAGTTTGAGAAACATCATTCCAGGAGCAACGGACCCAGATGGGAAATGCAGCATGACAAAGGAGCAGCAGGAGTTGGGGACAGAAAACCCATGAACCAAGAGGATGTCACACCACATGGCCTGCCCAGTCTGATGGGGAGGAAGTGGCGGGAGTGGAATCCCATAGGGCGCTCCTCGTGGAGCAGGAGTACTGCCCCCCACCACCCCACTGCCCCGGAGGAGCCTGTTTCCATGCGGTTTTCACAGAACAGGAGCAGACAGAGCAGACAGAGCAGACATGAGTCTCCGCTCCTACTGCCCAAAGTCCACGCTCTCTCCCTCCCCTCTCCAACCAGCAGTGAGACCAGACAAAGAGTACAGCCATCACATCTAGTTCTCCAGCTCTTGTGCTCGGACTTCAGTGCCCTGATGGAAAGCAAACTCAAAAGGAATTCAAATATACATGTTTGCTGAGGCAAACAGCAGAAATAATAGAAAGACTCCAATCCAAAGATGAAAAAGCAAGGAAAAAAAAAAACCCGAAAAACTGAACATGAGACCTAGATAAGTATTTGGTCCTCCAAAATAAAGGAAAGAAAAATTAGTTTGCAAAAGACTGACGAAACCAGCAGTGAAAGATGAGCTAAGATGTTAGAATATGATTGTGGGGAAGGGCTTAGAAAATAACAGAAGAAAAGTAATTCTTTTGCAGAATTTAAAAATGCAAAGAACAGAATCAATACCACAAGAAACTTTATCAATGATGTGAAAGACAGGATGCGAAAATAATGTAAAAAACAGGAGGGAAGCAATTAGAACAAAGAAGATCAATAAGGACTGACAAGGGAGACCAAATGTGTAGACAACCAGTGTCCCCAAAGAAGACAGAGAAGGAATGGAGGAAAAAGTGCCATGATCAACACCATCTGTTTCCTCCCCCAGAGCCCCCCTCTTCTTACTAGCGGAGCCCTGATTGTCCTGCTGTCAAGACGAGATGCCTGGCTCAGGGATGTAGGTGGGGATACTCCCCTGATCTTGTGTCAGCCCAGTGACCCTAGTCTGGCCAGTGATATGTCAGAAAGGTTCCCTGGGAGCTTCTGAGAATGGCTTCCGTCCTGACAAGCGGAAGGTGGGAGAGGAGAAGCCCCTGCCCCGTGCCGCCCATGGGCTCTTGCCTCTGAAGGTGGCTGTGTGAGAATGTGGAGCTTGACACTGTCGGAGCCGTTACAGAGCAGAGGGAAGGTTGGGAGATGCGGAGGCCGAGACACAGCTCGGCTCTGGGCTTAGAAGTTACCAGGGGAGCTGCAAGAGTGATGCTACAGATGTGGGAAAAAGCAACATGTAGATGGGTGAAAGGGAACAGCTTAGGAGTTTGTCTGTATTTGCTAAATTATAGAGAGCAAAGAAGGAGTGGTTGGAGATGAAGTTGGACGTGTAGATTGAAATTAGGTTCTGGATTTCTTGTTCAAAATGTTCACGAACCAGGCAAATCCATGTGTGTCCTCTCCTTTCCCAGAACCTTAAAGCTATAGTAGATTTATTTAGTTTAAGTTTCTCTATCAATCACATCAAAGAGAGACAAGGAGGCAACTAATCAGGAGACCAGAGATGCCTGGAATCTCAGAGAGAAGGAAGAGGGCTGCCTAGAGCCAACCCTGGACTAATTACATCAGAATCCCTGGGGTAGCGCCCAGAGGACAGGACTTTGTTAATGACCCAGGTGAGCCCAGTGTACAGCCACGTTTGAGAACCACTGACCTAGAACACACACCCAGGGGGACAGCAGAGGATGGCGCCATCTGTACAGAGGAACAGCAGGGCCTCTGGACTCAGAGGGCCAGGTAGGAAGGAGGGCAGGGTGAGAATGGGGCTGAAACAAGGAACCTACTAGCAGGTCTGAACATGAAATAGTCAACCTCCAGCCCTCTGCCCAGCCCAGGCGGGAACGGCCGGGAGTCAAGCACTTCCTTCTCAGTTATCAACAAAGGAAGTCTCTTCTAAACCAAAAATGAAACCCAGTTACCCTGAATGCATGGTCTGGAGAGAATTCCCACAGCTTCTGAGAGTACCAGGGCATCAGGAAAGCTGCCTTATTCTGACATTTAGGAATTCCCCAGCATAAAAGCCTGCCCTCTGCTCCCACGCTAAGGTGGAGTTCAGTTTCCCACAAAGCTTCCTGGCTCTTTTTCAAACATAAGAGGAAACCCAAGGATCACCAGACACATGAGAAAAGCCAGCAGCACAAAGATCAATTCCAACCACTGGGAGTGGGCTGAAGGGGGCAGGGGGCATCAGGGAGTTAAATCCCCCCCAGAGTAGCAGGAAGTCGCCAGGTGATGTCTGAGTTTGAAAACTCCAGAAATACCCTTAGAAGCACTACCTAGAGACGAAGAATAACCACAGAAAAACTAAAACTAGAAATGATAGAAGTGGTTGACTCTGGGGAGATGAATTGGGGCCCACAGGAGACTGAAATGTTTCGGTGCATGCATGACTTGATGATGTAAATATGCGTGCCACAAATATGTATACATAATACTTATGACAGTTTTATATATATGATTATATATACTTAAACAGAAGAAATCAGACCATGGAGCAGCACTTCTCAAACTTGAATGTGCACACAACTCATTCGGCAACCTCGTTAAATAGCAGATTCTGACTCAGTGATTCTGGGGACCCTGAGAGTCGGCCTTTCTGACAAGCTCCTGGGTGGTGCTGTCTGAGGACCACATGCCGAGTAGCGAGGCTGCAGATGATGCTAAAAGCCAGGCTGATACATTTGAAATAAGTTCTGTGGCTAACTGGAAATCACTAACCTTTGTGAAATAGAAATCTTTGAGCATGGGTGAGGCAGGCTCAGAGGATGGTTAGGGGGACTAATCAGGGCAGCACGGCCTATCAGGAGACACTGGAGGTGGAGCGTCAGACAGGGGACATGGTAAGAATCCAGGCAGGAGATGAGGGGCTAAGTCAGGGCAGCGATGGAGGGAAGAGAGGACAGGATAGGGAGACACGGCTGCGGCAGAATCCCTTGGCAAAGGACTGGATGTGAGAGGGGAAGGCAAGAAGGGACCCAGCTGTCCAGTAGGGAGGGTGCTGGGCCTGCAGGGACTCTGGGCAGGACAGGGAGCCTTGCCTGGAGGACTGGCCATGAGGAGCCTGTGGGACCAACAATGGTTGGTAATTTTGAGGTAACAGAAAAAGTATATTTTGGTCCCTGCCTTGAGTTCCTGGCATAGCACTCCTAAAACCCTCGTTGTTTCCTAAGTGATAAGGCACTAGGAGCACTTTTTGTTGTTGTTCTGATATTTGGTCTTTGAGCCTGGTTTCTGAAACAGTTTTCCTAAGTTCTGGGAATTTCCTGGCTGGT